ACCCATCCTCTCACACTGCCTCCTGAGTGGGCTCCTTGCTCTCAGGACACACAGGAGATAGCTGCAGAAGCCATGGTCCATGGAACAAATTAGCAGTCATTGAAATTAACTTTTGTGGGGTCTCTGCTACCACCATGACCAGCAGAGTAAGAGTTCATGAGAGGCAAAAAAGGAAGGCAGTCCAATACATGGTTCAAAATTTGGGAGCCTGACCTGAGCCGTCTATTTTAGGCACACTTAGCACAGTTGCTGATAATGAACTTAGACCTGTTTGTACAGTAAAGCTTACAATGTGACTACATATTACATGCGACACTGACAAATTCACAAGAAAGGTCTGGGGGATCCACTGTGGTCCTGGCCACGCAGATAGTCCAGCGGTCCCCAAGTTCTTAGCCACATCACTCCCAGCCCTTTGCACAGGTGAGGCTATGCATCCTTTCCTCTGAAGGAACAAGCTTGTGTGTTTAACATTCCTGTCTGCCCTACTGTTTATCTGTGAGCAAAACGACCTCCGTGCTTCCCAGGGAAATCTAGGTCACCTGCTGGGGGCTGATTTTCCTTTTTCCTTCTTCTTTTGCTTTTTTGAGACAGATATTCTCTCTGTAGCTTTGGTGCCTGTCCTGGAACTAGCTCTGTACACCAGGCCTGATTTCCCTTTTACAGGGAAGAGTGCAGTTTCCCCCCAGTATCACATTGGGTTGACAGGCTGTTCTCCAGGTGACTTGGAGACGAGCGAGCATGTTCAAGGGAGGCAAGCAATGAGGGGGTACAGACAGATCTTTCTTATGTGGGGGAGGGGTGCAGAGACACCAAGGATACTTCACTATAGGGACCTAGACTAAACTCAGATTCCTCCAGCATTCCAACTGACTCACTGATGTCACCTGGCTGGGTATATGTAAGGAATCAGCGCTTGGCTGTGTGTCCAAGCCTCCCACAAGACAGCCTGGTATGGTATGTAATTTGTCTCAGGGATATCCCTTCTGGACTCACAGGACACTGTGTTTCTGGGTACCAGGCTGGGTTTTCTTTCTCTCATGGGGTTAGTGGACATCCTAAATTATTCTTGGACGAAATGGACTCTTCCTGCATTGTTCTTTCTTTCCCTTGGGTAACAGTGAGGGCTTTGAACAGAGATCTTTTCTTGGCTAAAAATGCCCCTTAAGTCACAGGGCCACTAAACTCTGCTGCATCCCATGCTACTCAATAACATTTAGGTCATTTTGTGCCATTTTATGTGTATGGGTTTAAATGCATGTGTCTGTGCACCACGTGTGTGCAGTGCCGGTGGAGGCCTGAGCAGACTGCTGGATCTTCTGTTACTGGAATCACAGGCAGGTATTAGCCACCATTTGGGTGCCTCTGGAAGAAGAGTTGTGCTCAGAACCTTGCCCTGTAGACACTTTCTTAGGGAATTATTTGGATTTTTAATTGAAAGTATTGACTTATAGGCAGACAAGGATGAGTTTGAAGGATACCATCAACACCTAGAGCAGAACAAACAGGTGAAATACACCAGAATAGGGTGGAGGCTGGAAGGACACCATCAACACCTAGAAGATATTCTGTACAGTAGGATAGGGTAGAAGGATCCAAAATCAGAAGGGATTGTCTCCAAGATGGACGAATTTCTCTTCTGATCCTTCTTGTAGTTCAGTGTGTGGTGCAGGCAGGTGGCTAACAGTCCTCTGTTGTGGCTGTGTCCCTAGAGGGCACACCCATACCCAGTTCCCTAGGTGATGTTATGGAAAGCGAGATTCTTCTTCTTGGGTCAAGCTGCTGCTGACACTGGAGCCTCACCGTGGGTTGAGTCCCTAAAACCCCGTGTGAAACACAACAGGAAACCTCCCACTGAGTCCAGGTGAAGGACAAAAAGACCTTTCTTTAGCTTTTAACACTTCAAAAATGGACTTTTTATTACTAACATCCTATTTTTCTTTTTAAAGTTTTATTTATTATTTTTTTTTTGAGACAGGGTATAGCCCTGGCTGACCTGGGACTTGTTATGTAGACCAGGCTGGCCTGCACCACTCTATTGGGGTTTTAAATTAATTTTTTTTTATTCAATATATTTTGTTCATATTCTTTTCTCTTTCCCACCCCAGTGTCAATCTTGAACTGCTGACAGGAGTGTTGTTTTCAGTGTAATATTTAGAAAACAACCAAAGGATTAGATTAGTAGCTTATCAGACCTCCATTATTTAATATGTTAAAATTCTGAACTTTTAACATTTTGTATCATCTTTAAATCTCATTCCTTACACACCCTAAATCACTTCCTAAGACCTTTACAGCTTGTGTGTGTGTGTGTGTGTATATATATATATATATATATATATATATATATATATATATCTGCTATTTGTTTTGGTTTTGGTTTTATTTTTGGTGCCTGTCCTGGAACTACTTCTTGTAGACCAGGCTGGCCTCAAACTCAGAGATCCGCCTGCCTCTGCCTCCCAAGTGCAGGGATTAAAGGCGTGTATCACCACTGCCCTGCACACTTACATAGGTTAAATCATTTCCTTAGACCCTCACAACTTACATAAGCTTACATCCTCAGTCCTTTACAACTCACATTTATACACCTTAAATCATTTCCTTACTTACGTAAAGTTTAAACTTGTGTTCCTCTATCCAGTTATTTATCATAAGACATAGGTAGTTGATTATTGAGAGCAGTCATTGAAAAACAATTCTTTTAAATAAATAGTAAAAAGTATATTTTTAGTCACCTGAGTTTTTTTTTTTTTGTGAGTTTATCTCTTTCATTGTGAAGCCCGTGGATTCGTGTTTCTCAACAGGATGTGATTTCACATAGGAAATGGGCTGAGCAGGCAGCTGCAGCTTTGGGGGAGGAGCTGGTATCCTCGCTGCTACAAAACTGACTACGGTTAGTCATCAACGACACCAGAAATCTGAGAAGCATAAATCTGAGCAGCATGTATAAATCCAAATGGGCTCTTTACCAATTAAAATGACAGAGAATTAGCCACTACTGGACGGCCAGCCTGTGCTATTCCATGGTAGCTTCATTTTTTTTTTTTTTTTGGCCAAGGAGGGAGCAGAGGTCATCAGTCTTGGGTGTTACACAGGTAGCAGTTAAGTCTTTGGCTTGGTGTGGGAGGTCCTTCTGTCTGTGTGCTGCTTTCATTCGTTAATGAGTGAAGAAACTGCCCTGGCCTGTTGATAGGGCAGAACTTAGGTAGGTGGGGAAGACGGAACTGAATTTTGGGAGGAGGAAGGCAGAGCCAGAGAGACGCCATGGAATCGCTGCCAGAGTAAGACATGCTGCCAAAACTTAGCCAGTAAGCCACTGCCACGTGGCGATACACAGATTAATAGAAATGGGTTAAGATGTAAGAGTTAGCCAATAAGAAGTTAGAGCTAGTGGGCCAAGAAGTATTTTAATTAATATAGTTTCTGTGTGATTATTTCACTTCTAGACAGCCGGGACGAACAAGCAGCCCCCTCCACTCCTCCTACATTGGCTGTCACACAGTCTTCAGCTGCCAGACCCAGAAGGTCTGAGAGACTTTTCTTCCTATGGAAGAGGAACTTAGGAAAACTGACCTATCTTGGCAAGACAGAGTAGGTCAGTAAAACCTACAGTGTCCACTCTGGGCAGATCCCTGGCAGCAGGTATGGGGCAGCTCTTTGTCTGGTGGTTAGTGTTAATTCAGGGCTATTCTAACAGTCCCAACCAAGAGACAGAGAGTGTTAAAGTCGTCAGTGTAGCCTTAGCCCTTGGCATTCATCCCAGCCCCCTGGCCTGGGAGTTGCATTGGTCTGGACTCCAAATCCCAGCATGCCAGGTCCTGACCTCTCCCTGGGGAAAGGTCAGGACCACTCACACAGGGTATTAAGTGGGCTCCCAGAGGAGAAACGTGGTTCCGGGTCTGCATGTGCTCCCGCTTTCCTGTCTCCCTCCATGCGCTCGGCCACCCAAGAGTGCCGCATTTAATAAAACAATGGACATTTTAATTTGATTTACTCTGACCTAATTAGATTTTTTGCGCCGGTAGAACCACCTGTCTTAGGATTTTTTCCTAAGTTAGCAATACCACAATCCAGGTAGAGTCTTCTTTGGAGATAGCCTTAGCTACTGCTACCAGAAACTGGTATTTTGTTTTAGGGAAGCCTTTTCATTAAATAGTTCAAATGCCATATTCAGCGGATCACACTGAGGGGCTTCAGGGTCACCATCTAATCTATTGTGTATACCTGATTTAAACACACTTTGTTTTTGATTACATGCTTCAGGTTTAACATTGGTAGCATATACAGAAGGCAAAAGCTTGTCCCTGAGAATGAATCCCATGGCTACAAGCATAGTTCTGAGCCATTTACAATATAACTGTCTACGAACTTGCATGGCTTAGTTATTTTTATGTTTCCAAGTTAGTAGGTTTTGTTTTTCTTTTTATTTATTCTATGTGTCTTTTACATCATGTATCTTGATACCCTTATTTCCTGGTCCCTTCATATCTGCCCTCTGCCCCTGTATCCCCCACCCCAAACAAAGCAAAATTTAAGAAACCCACACCATCAGGGCCAGCTCTATGTGTTGCCCAGGTGAGATACAGGGTGAGGGGCAGGGCCAGCTCCCCCACCTGTCTCAGGTGTTGATGGGTGAGGGGACTGCATCTCTCTTCAGCCCATGACACCAGATGTAAGATGAGTAATGGGCTCTCCCTTGCTCACAACATCAGAGCTGGGTCACCCTCACCTCCGACCACCAGGCAGCTCTGCTGGGCTGCCTAGGCAAGGGGCAGAGCCTACTTTCCTGAGTGCTACAGCTGATAAGGGGGCCAAGTTAGAAGCTTTTATAAAATTAGGATTTTATAGTTTTATCCCTGGTAAGTTTGAGCCTTAAAAATTGAACTAAAGATCTAATTGAAGATTCTTTAGCATCAAAATATAACTGTAACCACAAATAGAACCCACGGAGAGACCAGGAGACTTTCCTGACCCTTTACAGTGTAACTTCACAGAATATTGCAGTTTCTTGTATGAATCAGTTTATCCAAATAGCTAAAGTGTGACAAAGTTAGAGAAGACAAAGAGGCTGGACATACATCCTGAAATCCGTTTCTGTCAGCCTGAATAGTCTTGAGGAATTTATAAGCCCTATTTATTAAAAGAGAACTATGTTGTTCCTTATTTAAAATGTTTAGTGAAAACGTCAGCAAGTCACAACGTTGCTATTTACTCCAAGGTGAGCCAATCAGCACACACCCATTTTTTCTTAAAAAACAAAAACAAAAACAAAACCAAACATCCTTTTATCCTAAACAAGAGTTGAATCCAAGTTACATATAGTAAAATTACATATGTATATATTTTAAACTATTAACCTTTTAATTTACAAGTTTTAAGCTGACTTTTTGCTAAAGATTTTATAAAGACTTAAAACCACACCCAATGAACTTAAAAATCCTGAGATGAGAGCGTTTAAACAACAGTCTTACAAATCTCAACATAACATTTATATTTTAGCAAAAGTTTTAGAGACATGAGAAAGAAGCAGTTTAGAGTTAAATAAAACCAAGAAAAGGAGTATGAACCAAGCAGCTGTAGCTAGACTGGGAACAGTTCACTTTGAAAGGCCTAGTCCATGGCTCCTCCCCTGGCTCTTCTGTTTGCTTTCCTGCCTCCTGACAGAGTCACCAGTCTACCTGACCCAGGACAGAGGTTGTGGAGGAAACTGTTGAACAGGCTTGCTCTGGTCTGGAGAAGAAGGGCTGCGGGAGGGACGTCATAAGCTAAGGGAGTCTTGGGTAGGGGAGGAGGTGAAGAGACAGTCGTCTCTTCTGTCTTTTGAAATTTGGGGAAATGGAGTTCTTTTGGATCTGACAGTAACAAGAGCACTGGGAATCGTCTCATGTTCTGGGGAAGGCTATGGGACCCTTTTGGCTAATAATTCAAAAAATAATCCACTCCTGACACTGATTTTCCTTGGTGGCACAAGGTGTTGAGCTGGGGGAGGGGGAATAGAACAGGTATTATAAAAGGATAAACAGGAAACTAGAATTAAATTAAAAACTAGGATTAAATAGGGGAATGAGAGGGCAGGGTAAAGGAGGGACTATGGGGAGGGACAGCTAACAGGCCTTTTGAAAATCCATATGGAAATCTTTTTTTTTTTTTTTGGATTTTCGAGACAGGGTTTATCTGTAGCTTTTGGTTTATGTCCTGGAACTAGCTCTTGTAGACCAGGCTGGCCTCGAACTCACAGAGATCCGCCTGCCTCTGCCTCCCAAGTGCTGGGATTAAAGGCGTGAGCCACCACCGCCCGGCGCCATATGGAAATCTTAAAAGATATGCATATCTAAAAACAATCTCAATGGAATAAGCATATAATAATGAGGGAGACAACTTATTTTCATGATGGGATGGAGAAAAGGCTTGGTGGTGGTGGGTGGCCACCGTTTCCTGGCCAACCAAATTCCAAGGAGGGGTGGCTCTGAAATTTGCACTCTGCATGCCTCAGTCCCCAGATCAGCTCAGGGGTGGGGTGGGGTGAAGTATGGCTATTGCCTGACCACCTCTAGGTGACCCTGTGGCTAGCCTCTCGGCAAGGCCTGCCACAGACTTTCTGTGAATTTCCGAGAAACAGGATTCTGAGAAGCCAGCAGCTCCCACTGTCACGCTGCTCTGCTTCATGCATTTGCTGGCCTGGCACCTCTTTTTTTTTTTTTTGAAATGTTTTTTTATTTTATGTGCATTGGTGTTTTGCCTGCCTGTGTGTGTTAGCATGTCAGATCCCCTGGAACTGGAGCTACAGTCAGTTGTGAGCTGCCATGAGAGCTGTGACTTGAACCTGGGGCATCTGGAACAGCAGGGTCTCCACTGCAGAGCCATCTCTCCAGTGTGGTTTCCCTCTTTAGTTGGCCAGCCATCGGGTCTGGGCTCCGGCTCAGGCTTTTGTGATTAAACCCAGGAAGTTGCTGCTGTCATGCAGAGCCTTGAACCCAGAAGCTGATGGCATTCTGGGCTTCACTGGCACAGTCTGACCGCCATAGAGAACCTGCCCTGTGAGCTACGTGGGTGACAACCAGGTATAATCACATACACCACTGCTGCAGGGCCGGCAATACAAGCATCCCACCCTAGAGATGGGGAAACGAGGCACAGTGATATCCCCGCCAGTGTCCCTCTTAAATGGGAGGGGGACTGGACATAACTCCGGCATCTCCAGGGTGACAAGGCATGCAGGCCTGACAGACACTAACACCTCCCAACACTGGCGTTTGTCCCACGGCTTTGGCCTTTGCCATGTTCCCGCTGGAGCAGCGGACTTTCTACACCATCACTACTGCCTTCTGCTCATCTGCTGAGTGCTACATCTTACTGGTTTACTGGTTACTTATAGTTTATTGCAAGTTCCCAAAAGCTAGAGACCCATCTTTTCATGGCAAGTCTCTAGTCCCAGGCAGATCCTCAATAAAGGAGAGGCTACCGTGTGGGCCCTCTTTTCAAGGAGGGCATGGTGACTGCTGACTTGGAAGTGAATCTGCACAGTGGTGGGAGGGAAGGCTGAGGAAGACCCATGGCCTCAGGACAGGAGCTCTGGATGAGTCCCGCCAGCTTGGGCATGGTTGAAAGCTACTCACTGCTGCAGAACTACCCTTCCCAAATCTTAAAACCACCTCCACCAATTAGTTTGCCTGGGATGTAACCAGGGAAGGCCTAGCGGTACACCTTGTCTGTACAGTCTGCCATGCTTTGTGTGACTTTGGTCCTGGAACTCTGACTAGGGGAAATAAGGGAATGAACAAAGGACAAACACACAGACATGGTAAAGTTGGGAGGGGACCGCCCCACCCGGCAGCTGCTGCGTGTTTATTAGGCACAGCACAGAGAGAAGTTATGCAATCTCTAATGGAGGCCTCTGTAGGTGAGCAGTCTTGGGTTATAAGCATCTTTGCACACACTGGCCAACCAAACATAATCACTCACACTGGGACTCAGAGGAAGGCTCCACTTGAGTGGGACTGAGGCTTTGGAGTTCTTGACTTGTCTGTGTCAGCAATACATATTCCGTCAGGACGTGCCTCCCTCCCCACAGTGTGCTAGCTCAGGATACTGTGTGGGTGGGCAGAACAGGCTGGGGTGGGAACATACTGGGGCGAAGATGAGGTTGCCTCTGCTTTAGAGGAAGGTGAGCTGGAGACTTCGAGGAGTGAGGCACATGTAATGGATAGGGACAAGGCCTTATCTACAATGGGCTAATTGGAGGACAGGGAGGCTATGAACGGGACAGCAGGACCTGGCTTTGGCAGCTCAGTAGCCGTGGATCAGGGGTAGGAACAAGAATTCAGGAACTCGCTATGCCATGTTGAGGGTCAAGGGTACTGTGGGAAGGTTGAGGTGAATGACCATCTCTGCATGGTGGGCTTAATTGGTTGTAATTCTTTGGTAGAAGGATGGTACCCATTGCAGCCCCATCCCCTCATTTTTGTTTTTTATTCTTTTCTTTTTTTGAGACAGGCTTTCTCTGTGTAACAACCCTGGCTATTCTGGAACTTGCTTTGGTGACTAGGCTGGCCTCGAACTCGCAGAGATCCACCTGCCTCTGCCTCCAGAGTACTGGGATTAAAGGTGTGTAGTACTCCCACTAGTTCCCCTCATTTTCTTAACTACAGCCAGAATTCTGACACTGGCTTCCCATGGTCATTGGGGGGTCTGAGTGTGCTCCAGAGTGTCACAGAGTGAAGTCACCCCTCATATCAAGTGCCTCTGGGGGGAATATAACCTCTGCAGCCACTGTGAAGCTACCATGCAACTAGTGCCTAGCATTTCCTGAGCAGGAAGGTGTGCCCACTGCTCAACACAGACTCTCCTCCCAGACTGGATGGAGGCCTTCATCTGGGCTCCTTCACCTATGGGAGCTTCTCCTAATGCAGGAATGGCCCTCCTGCCCTTTCTGGAATTTAAGGAGCTGTTGTGTCTTTAGCACACAGGCAGTCTCCCTCTTTGAGATAATCCAGCTGTATCTCTGGAGACAAAAGCGAGCAGATGTAGAGGGAGCCCCCTGCCTGGGAGCCCACCTCCCCCGTGTAGAAATGTTGCCTCTTCCCACATCTGTCTTACAACAGATGTGTTTAGAGTTCAGAGGCTGGCTTCCAGTCAAAGTGTCCACTTTGGAGTGCTAGAAGCAACTCCATAAGGACCAGCTGGCAAATGGGTAGACCTGGATTCCAAAACTCACACAAAGAGGGGCTGCCCTGGCTTTTACTGGTTCCTGTGTCCTGAGCAGGGGCAGCCCTGCCTTGCCCCAGGGCTGCCCGATAGCTTTTTCTAGCCATGCCCGGGGGCTGCTGATAGCTCTACCTAGCAGTATCTTCCTCCTTTTAAACCAGGCTCAGCCTTTAGTTTGGAAACAGGAAGAATGGAGTTGCAGGAGGAGGCTCAATGGGAAGGAACCAGCAAAACAAGCCCAACCCAAAGGGAAACAGCCAGTACTGGCCTAGGGTGTTCCCAAGGTAGAAGTGGGGCTCAAACACCAGAGCCTCTAAGTGAAGTCCTCAGGTAGAGAGCTGAACTAGGTAGAAGGACAGTTGGAGACAGGGGTGAGGCACTTCTGGCACATGTGTGGCTATTACTGGTCTGGAGAAGGCCCCAAAGGTCCAGTGAGCTAATCCCTGTGCCTATGAGGGCTTGTGGCTCCTGGGCCATGCTTTCATCACTGGCTGCCTGGGACCCTGAAGCTGCCTGAGCACATGCTAAATGACTGCTCACTTGCTGGCTCCTGGGCTTCATCTAAACTACAGGTGCCCCCCACTCTGTCCTCCCTATGTGTCATTTAAGATGTAAAGTGCTCTGACCTCCCCATTCCTACCCTGTGGCAAACCCTCTGCTGCAGGAGACTGCCATGGGGAGGGACCCCACATCAAAAGGCCTCTGTAGCCCACACTGTCAATGGGAGTGGCACTTCCGGAACCACAATCCTCCCCAATGGCTCTGCCACTCACTTCACACCTGTTCTTCCAATGTCTTAACCTCGCTGGGCTGACAAGGGTAGACAGCATTGGTGGTATCATGCAGGTAAGGAAGCAGTCTCAGGTGGCTGTGAAGGTTGCCCATGTTACCAAGGAAGGAAAAGCAGGTGAGGCCAAGCCATGGACAGCACCAGCCCCACCTGGCCAGGCGCTTCTGTGCTTGCATGACCTCAGAGCTAGGTTATTGGAAGAATGGGGTCACTCTCCCAAAGGAGGAGTCGTTTCCTACATTATTAGCCTGAGTTCCAGCACCAAGGTTCATGAGGACATCGTTAAGCAGATAATGGAGCCTCATGAACAGAACTACAACTTCTACCCCAATATGGTCCTGAGATTGGGTATATGAACTTGTTATTTCTTACCAGAAAAAGGATTTGCCTAGCATGGAGGAAGGCATCTGATCAGTGAAGAGGCCTGGCTTGATAGCTCTCTGTGTATACAGCCTCTTCTCCAGGCTCCCATGTCCTAGTAGCTCCCACTCTGGATAAAGGCAGAGGACAAGACTGTGTCCTGGGGAAAAATAGAACTGGCTGACACAGGGCCATAGGTACTCCCCACTTTGTCCTTGAGTGGCCACTGGGAGAGCTGTTACAAAAACAGCAACCTGCACCAACACTGGCAGCTACGGCTAGGGGATTCTTTGCATTTCTTCAGCTCTCCTGCCACTAAAGGCAGCACCTGCATTCTCGTCCAGCACAGCCAACCCTGCATGCTCGTCTAACATAGCCATCCCTGCACACAGGAGGAGGCAAGTCCCAGGGAGAGGCTGTGCTCTAGAGCTATACTTATTTGGCACTGTGGTCATTTCTTTTCTTTTCAAGCTGCAGTTAGCGCAGAACAGCAGGTCATCATTGATGAAATAAACCAGGAAGGCCCGACGACCACAGCAAACCTGTAAGACAAGGCAAGTCTGTGACCCTCTGGAGTACACAGGAATGTTTTAACTCACAATTCCAATCTGATCAGAGAGGATTGCGTGAAACAGAGGCATGTTTAAAAAAGTAAATGACAATAGCTGCTACAATCAAAATGTGAGCGATCAGAATGGATGATTATCATGTGGCTAAAGAAAAAAGTTCAATATCCAGGGTTTTAAAATGTGCAGTTAGACAGAGTACCTGATAACGCACAGGGGAGGAATACAATCTGCACCAGCAATGTCGGGGACAGAAAGGGAAGCAATGTTCACCAGGAAGAGTGAAGTCACCTAGTAAACACAGCACTCTCCAAGCAGAAAAGCGGGCTAACTGGGGACCACAGAAACATCTCCGTGTGAACCCAGGAGCTCTCACGGGGCACTCACACAGCACAGGATGGGGCACGGGCAGGGCAGGTAGGTTAAAGACTGTGAAATGCCCATTCAAACGGCAGGGAATCAGCCTGTCACCTTCTTGGCTCCGTGGATAAACAGTAACACTCAGCTATGACCCTTCTTCTCAAAGCAGAGAGAATGTTGGGGACAGTGTCTCAGCTGGGATAGACATGGCCAGCACTGTATAAGGCCTGGAGGGGTGAGTAAATACTTCCTTAGGTCTAAGGGTACGGATGCCTCTGTGAAGTGGCTGATGGTAACCTTCCCTCGGAGGATGGATGCCCACCATGTGGTGGCCCTGGTTCTTATGTCTTCATGGGACATGGAACTAGCCTCCTTAGAGTGCTGAGAGGACTAGTCCGAGGCACTGGCTGAGCCCTGCCATCTAGTACAGCTAAGAAGTCCTCATAGGGGAGGACTTTAGTGTCCCTGTTTCCAAGATGGAGGAGCATCACACATCACTGTACTTGTCTGCAGAGAAAGGCAGTGCTGGGAAGGAGGGGGACACTGCCCAGAGGCTGCTGCGCTCTGCGGAGAGGGACACAAGGCAAGTGTAGCAGGTGCTACATCTGCCAACAGTCCCCATTGTCCCCAGTGGAGTGCCAGCTTGGGCACAGAAAGCTCTTCTCCTTGCAGGAAAGAGTGCCCGGCACAGCTCTGACTCTGCCAGCAGAGGAGGTGGCACACCCGTGGCAGCCCAGGCAGGGGCACAGGGCATGCAGAACCATCCTTGAAGCAGTACCCGGATGACTTTACAGCTGAGTGTCAGTGTGGGGGTGGGCTGAGTAGGGGCCCTGTACTCTTCTGGCACCTGGAATGTTTTTTGGGAAGCCTGCTCCCACAGAAGGGACTCCAAATCTAATTCCCAGTGGGGGTTTGGCTCTTGGTGGTAGAAATGTGGTTTCCCTTTATGATGCTCATTGTAAGAGGCCACAGTAGTTTACAGCCGCCTCATGCTTCATGTGGAGATTCTAGAAGGTGAAATGCGGTTCAGGGAGAACAGTGGAGGCTGAAGTTTATTCAGCACAGGGCCTGGAAATATACTCGAGTCAAACCAGAATCTGAGTCCTAATCTGAGCCCCTGCTTCTCTAGTTCACTCTGAGTGCAGAATCTGAGTCCTAATCTGAGCCCCTGCTTCTCCAGTTCACTCTGAGTGCAGCAGGGCTTCTGAAGGCAGCAGGGAGGCTGGCTGCCAGATCGGCCGGCCGAAGCCTTGCTAACAGGAAGTCCTGAAAGCAGCTCCTCCCACTAGGTGCAGCCCAAAGAGCTGCTGGGGAGGAGGATGGAAGACGGTGGCGCGATTGTGGTCTGTCTGACAGTGGGCACGGAGCTGGGCGCCTGACTTCGCCCTACCTCAGAGCAAGGGTCACGGGGTCAGGTGGAAAGCTCTACCTGCACTTCTGGTGAACATAGGGCACGAAAAGAGGAAAACTCTTGTTAAAGGATGGGTTGTGCCAGTGCCAAAATGCATGCTGGGGAAAAAAAGTTAGTTCAGCAGCAGGGTCTCCACTACTCGGGTCCCTGTGCTCAGATGTCCAGGGGGCTGACGATGGTAAAGCCAGAGTCTTTGCTGCTGTCGTCATCAGGGCTGGAGCTGGGGTTGCTGGAGGAGGCTGAGGCTGGGCCCATCAAGGGGTCTGAGAATACCAGTGGGGAGCAGGCTGCTCTGTTCCTCCCAGATGTGCTTCTGAGGGCGAGAAGAGGCTGGGACTGGCCTGAGAAGGCCCCCCTGGCACTGCGCCCCTCATCTTCTTTGTTAACCAGAATGAAGTCATCGGGGGTCCCTCCACCTGTGCAGCCCGGCATCTCTGAAGGGGCCTGTGAGGTAAAACCAGAGGGGAAGGATGGTGACAGCAGGCATGGCAACCCTGTACAAAGGCCAGTGAGCAAGGTGGCCATGAGGGGTTACCTCACCCTGTACCTCATTTAGGAAGAGCCTAGTCTGCCGGTGAGAGCAGCACTGCCTTGCCAGCCCTCTGAAAGCAAACACTGCCACCCAGGAGATGGAAGTCAAGCTACTGTCTGAAAAGCTGCAAGGAAATGCAGCGTCCATACTGCAGGAGATCAGGCCCAGGAGCCAGCCACCAGGCCATAGATGCTACGATACCAGCCTCCCCTGAGCCCCTTGTAATCTTTTATTTCACATCTATGAGACAGGGTGAAGCGGCACATGCAGGCTCACGAAGCTGCTTTGGAATGTGAGATACCACGTCTAATCTTGGGTACATATTTGTGGGTCTCCTGGAGCAATGGTGGTACTGGTAGGTACCAGCAATAAATAGTAAATCAAGAAAAATAAACAGGAAAATCAAGAAAGTAAAGTTCAGTGGAAAAACACATAGTAATGATTTAGTCCACAATTATTTTCCCCTTTACAAAAAATTTTAAGTGGATTTTTATCATTTTAGCAGACAGACACTAATATCTATGGACACACGTAAAAGTCTGGGGTTAGCTGGGTGTGTTGGGTCATACTTTTAATCCGAGCACTTGGAAAGTGGCTTGGGCTATATAGTGAGGCCTCGTATGGAAAAGGTAAAGTTAGCAAACAAAGCTGTAATCTTGCCAAGACTGTCTAGTACCGGGTGAGGAAACACCTTACCTCAGCATGCACTGCCTGCTGACTGCACCTGCGTCCTCTGCCCTGAGACAGAGACAGCTCTCTTAAAGGGTGGCCAGAGAACAAGTCTGACTCCTGTTAGTGTCTTCTTGCAGAAGACAAAGACAGGGCATGGGGCTCCTTAGTGCAAGCCTGGGCTGATCTCAGATGCAGCTATGGAGGCAAGTGTTTGCCTACTCAAGGTTGGGCCATGCGATGTGTGCTGACTGCTAACAAGGCTCTCTGTCTAGGAGAGAGTGCAACATAAAAGAGGTGGCAGGATAGCAGAAATGGGGCATTTCTTGAGTCTCTAACCTGTGAATTGGGTTCAAACGTTCCAGCCACCTGTTCCCGAGTGCCACGTTCCTAGAGCAATTCCTTCTCAGGAAGGGTGAATGCCAGGCTCGCAGGGCTCATGGCACTGAGCTCACGGTGCTGCTCCATAAGGACCAGCAGTGCCATGAGCTCTCCCTGGGAGCGCACTAACTTACGTCAGACCTGAAGTCTGGGTGCAAGACCATGTAGGACCAGCTCTCAGCACCACCGTGGCTCCCAGAGAATGTTCCAGCAAAGTAAGAGCTGACACAGGAGTATCTTTGTTGTTATTGGCTTTGCACTTCCCAAGGGGCCAACACACTTAGTTTTCCTACAAGTTCTTACAACTATGAACGTCAGCAAAGCCTGTCTCTGTCATATACAGCTGAGCATTTCAAATACAGCAAATGGTTAGTGACCCTCAAAGAGTTCTGTGCTGTAGTATTTTTACACAGTCAACTAAAAAATCATTTTAATTTTAAAACCGCCAATTAAAAGTAGTTGCTGAGTCTATGTGCACCAAAGTTTACCTATATCTGTGTAGGGAAGGGAAATTTGGAGAGACTTATCAAATTAAGGTGCTAATTTATGGGGTCAAAATGCACTCACACAGCTCTGTGGCTCTTTCCAACAACTGTACAGGTCAACTAGAGCACTGCCATCTGGAGGAAGACCCAGAAAACCAAAAAGCAATTCCCACTCCAATGCATGAATTTTTCTCTGGTTCCTCTCTTAAGGATGAACTTCCTAAGCTGACTTTTCAGAGAAGTCACTGAGACACCAGGGCCTAGCACACACCTACCATCCCAGACCTTGGGAGTCTGAGGCAGAATGACCTTGTGTTTGTGGCTAGCCTATGTTATATAATGAAGCCCTGTCTCAAGCAATCGTACAAAATCATTAAAACTTTAGAATACAGGTTGCAGGGAGTCATCAGGATGGCTCAGTGGGCAAAGGTGCCTACCAGCAAGTCTGAATTTGATTGATTGGAATCACACAGTAGGAGAGGACCAACTCTATAAGGCTTTTGGTCTTCATATGTATGTTACAAAATAAATAAATAATAAAATTTAAAAATTAAATATAACTTGGGCATGAACAACTTTTTTGTTGGTTACCAATGCACAGTGAGGCACTGGAGGAGCACGGGGCTCCTGACAAGTCAGTCTTTGCACCTTATCTCTTCTGTTACTAATAAGCAGGTAGACTGAACACACAAGAAAGGCCTAAGATTCTAAGATTGTTCTAGCCAGAACACCCTGTTGGAATGACCCTGAGGGTGCTGGCACCTGACAGGAAAAATGGGAGCTACGGCCTCAACCTCAGAGTGCTCCATGGGTTTAAGGAGTTGTTAAAAAAAAAAAAAAAACCAAACAGCAACAGCAGTAAATTCAGTAGGATGTTCTCTGCCTTTCACAGAGGACATTTGCTGACCAGTGTCTTAGCAGCTATTCACTAATGAGAAGTTCTTCCTCAAGAAGTTAGGGGAATGATTTTGGCAAAATGGGATCTCATCAGGAGGAATTCACTGTAGGCAGCGTGGAGACAGTTTACAGAGTCCTCCCAGTGCTAGAGGACGAGAGAGACAGCTGGAAGCCCATAGATTCCTCATGGCATCCCAGAGTGGCCAGAGGCTCAGGCTTACAGAGCAAGCACTGTGCAGCTCTCTGAGACATTAGTCTCGTTACCACTAGGAACAGCGTCCCCTCTAGCTCTAGAGAGCATGACGGTGTTTAGGGTTCAGGCTGGATTATCTCTCAGCTCAACTTCATATCCAGTAGCCTGAAGAGCTTTGATCGGACTGGCCTTATTCATAACTCCGGAGAACCTAGGTTAACTTCGTGAAAGCCATTCTCCTCAGTATTCATCAAAACACCTGTACCTGCTTGGTGGCCCTAGGAACTTGGTGGCTCTGGTCCTGGGCGCTGGAGCAGTAGTGATCATCCGCGATGGTAATCTGTTCATTCTCCTCAGCCTCCAGTTGGCTCTGGTTGAAGCGCAGGGAACCTTTCAGAATGTCTTTGATCTATTTTCAAAGGGGAAAGAAAATAATAAAAAGATAAATGAGTTTGTAGCTAAATGTAGCTAAGTATCACATACATTTGAAGCAGACTTTCCTACAGTAATTCCTTACTTTGTAGTTCTAGTTACCGCTAGTCACTGAACTTCAAGAAAAAACAGGTCCTCAGTTTTAGGCTGTCTTGTCTGAGCAGTATGCTGAAATCTCTCACCTTCTCTAGTAAGACAACGTGCAGAAGCGCTAGGATGGGAATCAACCCTTCGTCCAGATCACCCATTGCCATGTACTCTGCTGTCCTGCTCATCACAACTGTGCTGCATCACAGTACTTCACACAGTAGCCACGTGTTACAGCACAGTACACACCCCATGCTACTTCACACAGTAGCCACGTGTTACAGCACAGTACACACCCCATGCTACTTCACACAGTAGCCACGTGTTACAGCACAGTACACACCCCATGCTACTTCACACAGTAGCCACGCGTTACAGCACAGTACACACCCCATGCTACTTCACACAGTAGCCACGTGTTACAGCACAGTACACACCCCATGCTACTTCACACAGTAGCCACGTGTTACAGCACAGTACACACCCCATGCTACTTCACACAGTAGCCACGTGTTACAGCACAGTACACACCCCCTACTTCACACAGTAACCACGTGTTACAGCACAGTACACACCCCCTACTTCACACAGTAGCCACGTGTTAGAGCACAGTACATACCCCTACTTCACACAGTACCCCATTCCCCTTACCCTACTTCATCTTTTAGATCATCAAAGAGAGAATACACACAAGCTTTAGTAGACTGTGTTGTTATAGTCGCTCTACTCTTAGTTGCTGTTATTAATCCCTCACCGTGTCTAATAGCTAAACCTTAGTTTAGGTCAGCGTGTGTAGGGAAAATACAGTATATTCATGATGCAGGCAAACCTGTGATGTTAGGCATGCATGAAAGGTCTTGAGATATACGCCATGGATGGAGAACATTGCAGGATGATTGTTATCATTGTACTATAAAAAATGAACCACTGGTAAAAATCCAACTATTTCAAATTTATGGACTTAGTAATGGCTGGTTAAAGTCTGATCATGTTAAGAAACAGGTACTGTTTCCCAGCCAGGTAGTGGTTCCACTCCCACTGCCTGTTCAGATAGTAGCATGCTCCTTTTCATTGATACTGCATCCTGCTGAGACCCGCCAGGGTCAGGTAAACTGGGTTCTTGAGGGCCCACTTGAAAGTAGTGATTATGGTCTGTGCTTCCAACAGCATCCATGGATTTGTAGACAAACGATCAAACCTGATGTTGAGGTAAGGTGCAAACGCAATGGGTCTTGTAGGAAGAGGAAGCAGGGGGCAGGTGATAGGGGAATGGAGAACTACAAGCCAGTGAGATAGAGCCCTCAGGAGTAAGGAGCGTGAGCGGCACAGACTCTACCTGGCTGATATCAGTGACGAGGACAATGGCTCTGAGGTGGTCCTATCCATTGTAAGGTAATCCTCCCAGAGCAGGCACAGGGCTGACTGTGGAACACACACGTAGCATCAGAGTAGTACACATACCTGTTTTAAACCTGCCAAGGAAACCAGAATTTGATCTTCTTTTTCCAAATTCTCTTGTAATACCACATCTTGAATATTAACTGAAAATAGAAAAATGACATTTTATAACAAATGCGCTGTGTACAACTTACATACTGCCACACAACTTTAGAGGTCACCCACTAAGGCTGCTCTGCACACTGTGCCCGACAAGCAGACCCTACCTGCAGGCTTACCCCTGCACTCCTGAGTGTGCTGGTAATGGCAGGTGGTATTGCGCTCCCATGAGACACTGGGAATCTCTCGCTGACGCTGACTTGGGGTTTGACCAGATCTGGAGCCCTTGTCCCATTTATAGGAGGAAAAGTTCTTCCTTGAGCTTTCTTCACAACCTTACAGATCAATGGTACTTAACCTGCTTCCTTCTAAATACCAGGTCCTCCAACATGACTAAAATAAATAAATAGGTTGTCTCTGTTGACTTGTAAGGATAAATCATGCTGCCAATTCAGTAGAATATTAATAGTAAGAAGGAAATCTCATGGCACTGAGACCTCAGATGCCAATGCCTATGGAGCCATCTTGCTTCAACCCGTGTCTCTAAAGGACAAGGTTTCTGTTCTCTAGGGACCATAGGACCATAGGTGTTTCCTTCAGTACTGACCTAAGTGATCAGCCAAACCAGTGCTGACCATCACTGATACTCAGCACCCACTGATATATCACACTGCGATGTACTGTAGGGTAGGAAGACACAATTAAAACATTTTACACAAGGTACTGCTAGGCAAACCAGGTCTGAGGCTCACTTTAAATAGGTTCCACAGTTCTTACACCTTTTAAGTTCTCTGATTACAATGGCCTTAGAAAATATCCAACTTCTAATTCTTTTTATCTTTTTAAATTTCTTTTTTTTTTATTTTTACTGAGCTATACATTTTTCTCTGTTCCCCTTCCTTCCCCCCTCCTTCCCTTCAACCCTTTTCCATGGTTCCCATGCTCCCAATTTACTCAGGAGATCTTGGCTTTTTCTACTTCCCATATAGATTAGATTATGCATGTTTCTCTTAGGGTCCTCTGTGTTGTCTATGTTCTCTTGGATTGTGAACTGTAGGCTGGTTTTCTTTGCTTTATGTCTAAATCCACTTATGAGTGAGTACATATGATATTTGTCTTTCTGTGTCTGCTAACCTCTAATTCTTGAAACATTATATTCTTCCCTTGACACCTGCCCAAGGAATACATGTCTCATGTGTGCCTCTCTTGTGCCTCTTCTGGTATTTCCTCACACCACCAACCCTATCTAACTCACACTAAAAGTCTTTAGCCCCCACTCGTAGACAGGCAGTTCAGACTCCACAACCAAGCCTATCCTGCTTTCTATTTTATCCATCCCTGCAATCCATACTTGACCCCGTCTCTAGGCAGACACTAGGCCCATGCCACTAATTCCACTCATCCCTGCAACCTGTGGACTCACCCTCTCTAGGAGGAGTACCATACCCCGTAACAGTATTCCACGCATCCTCATGACCATCCCTAGTGACACATGCTTCATGTCTGCCTTAAGCTCTTTCTGGCACTGCGTTTTCAGGTAGGAAGGCTTAACTCATGCTGATAACCCCATCCACCCCTGCTCAGCACCCTTATCCCGTCCCACCTTTAGGCAGGGAATCTAGACTCCTTTCACCAATGAACCCGTGCCATGCAAACTCCACCTTCCCTGCTGCCCATACTTGGCTTCTTCTCTATCAAGACAACAGAGTCACACTCCCAACTCCACCCATTCCTAAGACCTGAGTACTACCCCTCTCCAAAAAGGCTCACAAGTTGTGTACCTGAAACTTCATTAACCCCTCTATCTTGTCAGAGGACCAAACACGTGTTCTGTGAGTCTTCCTGTTGTGGAATATCAGTTAAAGATATGTTACATTCATTTATGCTGTGGAACATTTGTTTAGTGATGCAAAGACATGCTGCATTCTTTTATGTTGCATTTGTTTAACTCTGAGAAGCTTTGTTACTTTGCCTGTCTAAAACACCTGATAGGTCTAATAAAGAGCTGAACGGCCAATAACTAGACAGGAGAAAGGATAGGTGGGCCTGGTAGGCAGAGGAAATAAACATAGGAGAAATCTGGGAAGAAGGAATCAGTGAACGAAGGAGGAGAGGAGGACTTGAGGAACCAGCCACCCAGTTATACAGCAAGCATGGAGTAAGAAGTAGAGAAATGAATATAGAAATAGAGAGAGATAAAAGCCCAGACGCAAAAGGTAGTCAGGATAAGTTAAGAAAAGCTGGCCAAAACCAAGCCAAGCTAAGGCTATAATAATGTCTCCATATGAAGTTATTTGTGAGTTTGGTTGACAGGCCCTCCAAAGAATCAAAGAGTAAAAGAGTTAAAAACAAAAGAAAACAAAACAACCAACAACATCTTTCACCACCTCTTGGCCTCTCCTCTTCATGCAGGGATTCTAGACTTGAACTGTCAACTCCACCAGAAACCCATGCCTAAAAAGGAGTTCTAAGCATTTCCCCCGGACTCCTGAAGACTGGCTGTGAGAATCTTCTGGATTTATGGACTTCTGAGCTTAGAAACATGTCTTGGCTCATGCTGAGACTGCACTCAAACATCGCACTGTTTCGCCCAGGGAGTGAAACTAAAGCCCCAGAAAGCTGGTCACCTGATAAAATGGGGCATTAGGAAATAGGTTCAAACACATACTCAACAAAATACAGTTAAGATTTTCATACTAAGAAACAGTACTGATGACCTAACTGCAGATGCCTAGGTGCCATCTGAAATATACAATCATGAATAACCAAAAGAAGACTGTAACAAAAATGAGTATCCCCATAGTAATGTCCCCTGAGAAAAGCAACTCAGATGATTCACAAGACAATGAATTTGGAATAGCAATAATAAACATGATGAAGAACTCAAAGACACTCTGAATTAATGCTAGAATGAAGACCACAAAAACACATTTAATGAAATAATGAAAACAATTTAAGACATGAAAGTAGAATCTAATAAAGAAATAGAATCTCTGAAGACAAGTCAAAATGAAATAAAACTTGAAAAATTCAAAAATCAAAAATCAAACAAAAAAATCTTAAGGAAGCCTCACCAAGACTGGATCAAGTGGGACAGAGAATATCTGGTCTCGAAGGCAGAATAATTGGCTCACTTGGTCTAAGAAAAATGTCAAGACAAAACAAAAACCAACAACAGCAACAAACAAACAGAAGAGAAAACACGCAGCAACTGTGGAAGTTTATATAAAAACATGCCAAACCCATGAATAACAGTTATAGCAGAGGGAGAAGAGAATCTGGTCAACAAGATCAACAGGAAGCTTCCCTAATCCAAGCAGAGATGTCTATCAGGCTCCAAGAAGCTTATAGAAAACTAAACACAAAGGCCAGAAAAGAAACTCCCTGTGTCACGTAATAGTTCAAACACTAATGCACAAAACAGAGAAAGGATATTGAAAACAGCAAGAGATTACGATCAACTAACTAATATACAAAGGCAAGTCTATCAGAATTATAGCAGATTTTTCATCAGCGACATTGAAAACCAGAAGCGAATGGACTGAAAGTTTTACAAATTATGAAAGACTACAGATTCCTATTAGAATATTACATGTAATAAAACTACCAGTCTTCCATAATATAAGCACAAAGGAAATTTTATATAATAAAACAGATTTAATTTATGACTACTAATCTACCTCTATACAAGCTACTGGAAGGAATGTATATGTCTGAAAAGAAGGTTAAACATACAAGGAACAAGTAACCCTGAAAAGCTAAGTCAAGAGAGGTCTAGTTGGGGCTGCAGTGACAGCTTAAGGTAGAGGTGGCTGTTCTTGAAGAGGAGATGAATTCAATACCTAGCATGGTTAGTCACAACTAGTAACTCTAGTTCCTGGGAGATGGACATCTTTTTTCTGCCATCTGTGGGTACCATGCACACATGGTGCAGAGATGCGAATACAAGCAAAACAGTCACACATATAAAATAAAAATAAATAAATCTTTATAAAAGATGTCTAACTGAAAACTACAAAAACAAGGAAGAGAAAGGAATAGACCTTTTTTTCTAAAAAAAAAAATAAGCGAATGATTTTAACTCATCAATAAACAGAAACTGACTAGCTGCTTGAACCAGAAAATAGGAATCCTAATAACTTGTTCTTTACCAATAGATCAATGCATCTCTCAACCCTCATTGGAGAATCTTCTATTTGCAGTAGATGGTGATTAATACAGAGACCCACAATTGGGCAAGCCGCAGAGAAGAGACTGTGAATGCTTTTCTCTAAAGGGATACGGATATGGTTGTGTGTGTGTGTGTGTGTGTGTGTGTGTGTGTGTACCAGAGGTGGTAGGTGACTACAGGGGCACAATATCCTCTATATACAGAAGGTAGCTGCATATATGAACTAATAGCAGCTGCAACAGAACACATATAAGACTTGTGCAAGATCAAGTCAGACTAAATCTCAGCATGGAAGGGGGACTTGGGCACAAAGCCCCACCACTAAGTGTAGATATTGGCAGTTGTTACCTGCTAGGAGAAGGAGAAATAGTTTTCTCTAAGAGTGTATCTTTTGGTAGGTCTAGTGGAAGACTACACACATCGAAGAATATTTGAACAACACAAACTGGTCTTTATGGGAAAAAAAGGACACAAAGTTGGGTGAGTAAGGAAGAGGGGTTAGATCTGGGAAGAGTCATGAGAGAGATGGTAAATATGATAAAAACACATTGATATAATACTTAAATAACTAAAACAAGTATTAGAACACAGTAAAATATTAATTACATTCTGTTATGGGATATTTGGTGGCACTGTGAAACTCTGAGACTGTGCTAATAAAATTAACCTTGGATCAGTAGGCAGTGCCAGAGAGTAGTTGACAAGAATTAGCCATAGAGAATACGGAGGAGAAAGGAATAGGACAGACAGGTGCACAACAAGGAGTAGGGAGAGACTTAGAGATTCATGGCCTCTTTCTGGTTTGGAAAGGATGGGAAGATGCTCTCTTGCTGGGTCTCCAGCAGAAAAGGAAGGTCAGCTGGTTGTGTCTCA